TTATCAGAGAGCTCACCAATATACATTGTAAAGAGAGGAAGGGAACGGAATATTTATGGTTTGAAAACATTTAAATCGAGTAGAACCTTTTTAACAATAATGTCTCTTTCAACTGAATAAAAACGATAGGGCTATTTGGGACTATTTCTTATCGATGTGGTCATTGGCTGTAAATGCATGGATTATTACACGCGGCATGACCTGCAGATGTCCTCAACTGGCTTTTTGTAGCATTTTACGATTTAAAAACGGACCACACATTAAAATCTAACACAAGATAAACATGACGCATATACTAAATAAGTGAATTATCTGATATGTAAATAAAGCAGTAAGTCATTTGACAGTTGAAGGATAAAATTTGAATATACTCTTCAAATGTAATCGCAATTGTTAGCTATCAATTATTCAATGGACGCATCAGTGTCATATGGACCCTAGTCTTAGATCTTGCCGATGTTGCTATTACAGATGTTAATGTAAATATTTATATAATTATTGATAATCATTGTTATTTCCGTCTTTTTGAATGTTTTGTTTTCAAGAAATTTGACTGTGATCGATGGCTATTGGTTTGTAAAATCAATTATCTGTTTACTATTTTCTACTTTGTTTACTCCACATGGCGTCCATTCTCGTTCTTATTCATGGCTATTTTGGGTATTTTTGATAAATAGAGAATCATAAGTAATGCAACTAAGTAACAATACTATCAGATTTACACGGCAAAGTTCCAAGTTCAAATTGTGATTTCGTTTATCAAACTCTATAGAAATTTATTATACGACAATTCCAGAAAAAATATAAACCTTTAAAAGTCTCTCTTTTGAGGACAGAAAAACCTATTTGTCACATTCAATAGTGTCAGTGTTTGTCAGTAACTCTTGACAAAAATAAAGTGAAAAAATACCTTTAGCTTTACAACACTCGCGTTAAAGTGTAACCCTTTCCATAGCATACAAACGTGTTTTTTTATTTTAACTCTTTCTCTTAATGAGAGCACATATATTTCTTATCAATTTCGCCATTGTGAAATAGAATAAAACACATTTTACTACATAGGATAAGATGAGCAATACTTAAAACATCTTCAAAACGAAACCAAAATATTATTTTCCGACAGGACTAAATCTAAGTGATTTGACGTGCACTATTGCGATACAAGTATAAGTGTTATTGCTTTAAGGAACAATCAGTTTTTTCACAATCTCTCTGTGAAAGATCAACAATGATAACCTAAATTGTAGAAAGAGAAAGGTAGGCATGTTGCTTCGCATTTGCAACGGATTCTAAAATCTGCTTTAAACTGTAGTCCTTTTTTTCGACTTGGAACTGGTGCCAGAATTGACAATTGAAGAAAAATGTAAGATTTATATCATTCATAATAAAAATATGAACATATTTAGGTAGAGTTTTGCCTTCCGTACTCCTGGTTGATGTAAACCTGACTTTTTATTCATGGCGTAGACCAGATAACGCCAGAAAACGAAATAGCTTGCAACTGAAGCCCGCTGTAATACAAGCAACTTTCAAGGTTATGCAAAGTGTTTGATAAAATGGCTTATAAACTGACGATTATCCAATATTCTGTGGAAAGCTTATATTTTTCCCCGTAGACTGGTGCATATCCTAAAGAAATTGGTACAAAAATAAAATATTTTTGACTATTTTCTTGTCCAAATCGAGCAATATTTGTCTTGGAAATGATGCCGAAAATGACGTCAATGTCACGTGGTATGGCCACACTGTTTAACGTAACATACAAAAACAAATCACGTAAGCAGACAACAGACAATAAAAACTAAAGACACACAAGAAGTTTAATGGAATCAAACTAACAAATTAAACGGAGAAAAACATACAAATATAACTTTAGATAACTAATAAGAACGAACTCATGAAGTTAATAACTCGAAGCTTAAAGTGACATTATATCCAAGGGTATAAAGTGAGTGAACAGGTGAATATCAAAATAAGTTTTAATTTTACCATAATTCCCTTTAATTTAATAATTTACTTCCCATAAACAATGAATAATGCACAGATCCAAATAAAATTCTTTAAATATGTATTAGAATTTACCTCTAACGCTCAGTTTATAAAAAGAGTGGGGCAGTCTTTTTATATTTTAGGCAGATTTATAATTCTATCCTGAACGTTTTCCAATATCAACTCTTGGTCAAACGCCATTTTAACAGTCAATTTTTTGAAATATAAAGTCAATTCAGAACAGCTTGACTTTGAATTATATGAGCATAATGCCACTTTAATGGCTACCTCTCATAAATGTCAAAAGTGTTTTTTTTTTTATTAATTATAACTTACGATCTTTTCTAAAGAAAAATAAATAATTAAGTTCATGAACATAAACTTAAGCTAAACTGTGCATTTCTTTTTCTGTTTAGGCATAGCTCCTTGATAGGTATTGTGATTTAAGCATCTTATTTTAACTTTGATAATAAATAGCTCTAAATATATTTCAATCTTAAGATTTAATAAATATACCGGTCATTGCATACGGCATAATCTACGATGTGTCTTTGCTACTTATCCCAAGTATCTCAAATACCTTCCTGGATCCCGGGATCCCCCCCCCCGCCCCTGTATCTTTTTATAAGAATATTCTTTTGGGATCAGTTGTTATTCGTCAATAAGGCTAGAGTTATCGTTCTTCAGTTAAACAAATGGACACAGCAAGCAAACATGAATATTTTATGTGTTTTGACATAAAATGCAAATGAATATATTATGATTACTAGAAAACATTTGCCATTTTCCAAGATAAACCTGTAATATTTTCACCTGTCTCTTTTTTTTTAGATAACAACATTCGTAAGCGTTGGATTTTAATCACCACACAAAACATATTATATTAACAAAATATACAAACAGTGTTCACTTTGTATATTTCATAAAAAAAAATAAACGAGTAATAATTTGACACTATTATAAAGCATGTATTGAATATTTATTAGTACTGCAACACAATAGTTTGTCATTTTGCACATGACTTAAATCAAAAGCAATGATACATTTTCTGCATTAAAAATCTTCATTACTATTCCTTACATTATACATGCATTTGAAATTTTGCATTCTTGTATGTAAATCAATATACGGAAGGAGGACAAATCTAATATGTATAAATAAGAATGCAATCAACATACATTGATTAATAACATTCAGATATAAACATGTCATCACGATACATATACTTTTGGCGGATATTCACCTCTATATATTACCATTTAAAAAATCACATCCATAATGAAAAATATTCAAATTCTATGATATCAAGTTGTATAATATTTTATCTAACTAAACATTAAATTACATTTTAGTGCGGCGTTTTTCATAAATCACTCATTGCCATGAAAATGTATATTTGAGCGGTGGCTTATCAGTCCAACATAACCTCACGTATCTCCATCAATCAGCCATGATAAATTCCCTCCATAATATGATTAATATATACAAGTTCAGCACGTGAGATTGTAAGCTGCACGAGAGATTGTTACGAGACATTACTGTGATAGCGATGGAAGTCCAATTTCAGTTTCCAATTTTCATAGCATTATTGGCACTTAAGAAGAAAATAAAAGATCTTATATCAAGTGTTTTCCGTATCAAATTTAATAAAAATTAGTTGCATAAATTAATTATTTTCAAAATCCAGCTGTGTGCATAAATCCTTTTTATTAAAAGAGGTAAAAAATATTTTTGGAAAGATAAAATGTTAGATTATTTTCAGTAGATGTAAAGTTATTAGTTTATTCATTCGCTGAGCCACAGAAATATTTCTGCAGTGTATCGTCTAGTATCATGTACAACAGATCAAAGCCAGAGCAAAACACTTTATTATGTCATGTGACATATATGAACATACGACAAAATACATTTAATTATAGTAAATGTACATAACTTTGTTTTTCTCTTTGATATACACATTCATAATAATTAAAAATCAAATAACCAATACTGAATGCTCATTAATCTAAATCGTATACATTTTCGTGTTTAGTAGCACTTTTCGATATTTTGAGTTAACGAATCACAAAGCTTTCCGGTAGTTCATTTATTTCACAAGAAAGGTCAAACCGCGCCGGAAAATTAACTTTCCTCCCACAACTGACTGTTTTATGTCTGATATGAAACCTTGATTTTCACATTTGAGAAAGTGTCGAGACTACCCACAGAGTCCCTGCATGTTGTTGTTTTTTTATTGCTATAAATATAACATCTAATAAACTTGAGATAAAAAAGTGAAAATATTGACAGATTCTACTTAAATGTAAATTTGGTTATCTGTCATTTAACGGTCGTTAATGGCTTTTTTACTAATATTTGCGCACGCAGTGATTGCCTCTAATACTGAGTCCTTTATTTTGTCACTTGAAACATGTGAAGTACCACTCAAAACTCGTTATCACTGATGTTAAATAGCTGTTTTTTTATGCTGGCATAATTGATATTATATAATATGTTTTTTTGCACTTTTAGTGATACTTATAGTTTCATTCCATTTGACTCAGAGCTTAAAACCATTTGAATTTACAATATCATAGTTTATTGGTCCATGGCAAGGTTAAGGATAAAGGTATTCTATTCTCTGCCAATGATAAAAACCAATTTTGCAACTTATTGTCCATGGTAGAATTCATAAGACATTAAATACAATATAAAGCATTTGGAAATGTCATTAGATTTAAGTTTTTTCGGTTTAACGTACTTCTTAACGGCACCAAGTCCGAGTCCCCACCAGCCGGCCATTAAATCCTTAATCCTCAACTAACCGAAATGGGCACTTGTCAACATATTCAATTTACTTAAATTTAATTTATACAGCAGCTTCGACAAATTTGGTGCCTTTAAAAACGTTTCTTCATATAATTTGAAAAATAAAACAATTACATTATAAAAAGTCAAAGAAGAAAATATAACAACGAATTTTTACAATGATATAAAATGACTTCAGGTGGAAAAAAATGTTTTTTTCTTACCCTGGTCTAACGATTATTTTCGTTCCAAGAACTGAATGTATATATTGGTCACTTTCGGTGTTTTCAATTCTACGATCATGGCCATTTCCGGTGGTTACGTTTTTTAAGTTACGGTCACTTCCGGTGGTCACAATTTTTAAAATTCTTCCATTTTCGTTATCATTTTTCAATCGTGTTTCGCTTCCTGCGACGAAAACTAATGCCAGTGCAAGAATTTCTAATAAAAAATACATGTTAGCATAAAGATAAAAAATATATAATTATCCAGTCAAAATAAAACGTTTCAAGTATTTTACAAGTTTATATTTATTAACTGTAATCCACCTCATATAATATGATACTATAGTGCGTACATGTGAATTATTTGAAGACACTTGCGTCGCGAGTTATACTTAGTGAGTTTATTGAGCATCATATGAGCCAAAACGCTTCTAGAACGATCGCATGTACAGTCTTTACAAGTGTGGCTACTGTTGATTATTAAAAACGAATGTATTTATAAGCGTCCTATACAATGGTAGCATTATTTTTGTACTTTTACAGTGTTGAATGTTTGGTTGCTGTTGTTTTTTCTCTTTCCTTTCTATTTCAAGTGTTTTCTATAAACGTTTAATGATAACTATATTACTTACATTAACAAACATACTATTTCCTGTATTTAAGAGTAAATAAAACAATAATTTAAATCATCATTGTAAACTGAGAATTAGTTTTCAATGCTGACGTTCAAGCGTCTATGTACCTTTGTTTTACAACAATTCACTTTGTTAGTAATCTGATGTCGTCACCTAAGTGCAGTTACAAGTTGTATATGTCAGTCTAAATCTTATAGGACTTATAGAGGGTATTGAATAAGTGTGGGTTCAATACTTAATCTATTGAACGAGTGAAATATTGTTATATTCAACGAGTTCAATAAATTTAGTATTAGATCTATATCTACACGAATATAATATTCAATTTATCACATACCCAAAATTATAACTGTTTACGTTACCGTGAAAGATATTTACGTTTTTCATTAACGCGCCTCTAATAGTGTATCGCTAAAATTTAGCGCGTATTAATGTTGTTTGTATGGCGCAAATAACGTCATGTCAAAATATATACACAGGCGTGCAATACCGTTTTTTACGGAGTCGCGAAATCGGCACAGGTATGTGATCAAATGAATTTTGCACTGACTGTGTAAGCATTATTATGAAGTTTGGGTTTTTAAACATAACGTGTGGAAATGAAGATTATTTTATAAACACTTCTCTATAAAAAAGGTACTATAGTATAATAAGAGATTAATACACGACAGAGTAGGGCCGGAATGTGATAATAAGCCCGCAAAATGAATAATGGCCCCGAGGGCTTCAGCCCGAGGGCATTATTCATTTCAGGGCCGATTATCACCTTCTAGCACGACTAAGACGTGTATTAATTAATGTCTTTTAATACACTTGTTACACATATAGTAACAAAATTGCCTATAATTTCGACTGATTATGAGTGTCACCTGTTGCAGGCGTTGTTTCATTATTAAGATGCCTTCTTAAGATGAAGTTAATTTTGTTAACTGATACACATTCGTGAATGTTTTGAAATCTCGGGGGCGGGGGGCGGGGGGGTCATTAAAAAGCCAAAATTAAGGAAAAGACAGAGTTTTTTTTCTTTGGCCATAACTTGTGTCTTAACAAATTAAGCCTTTAAATAGTATAGTAAACTATAAAATTGAAATATTTATACAATACTGGATGTGATATGAAAATGTTTATAAGAGAATATATCAGTAAATAGTGTCAGAAATGCATAATCACTTTATTAGATTTTCTTTCATTTTACAATACGAAAATATGAACTTTTCTGTATGCGTGATCAACTGTTTAAAAAGGGGATAAAGACAGGATGGAGCAAGTTTAGAATTGCAGATGTACATTTCAAAAAGTTATCCCAAACGTTTTTCGCGAAAACCCCTAGATCGATCAATGGATTAGGGATGTCAAAAAGAATGAAAGAGTTAAATACTTCATAAAACATACAAATTATAAGCAAAATTAATCTGCTAATTAGGAAAATGTATTTTAATGTTGTTTCTAATTTTTTTTAGTCACACCCCTGATTAAAGAGATCAAAGAAAGGTAACGCAGTTTAGATTATACAGATGTACATTTTCGTAAGAGTTATCCCTACTGATAAGGAAAACCCAGCTAAATCGCCATCAATGGACTAGGGATTGTCAAAGCAAGAATGAAAGAGAAATAAATACTCACTAAAACATACAATTATAAGCAAAAGATCTGCTAGCATTAGAAGATGGTAGTAATTGTTTATTCTATATTGATATAATTGGCAATGTTACGTAGAATCATTTAATCTTTTTTTCTGCACTATTTTTGATTTCAGACCAAAACATATGTTTTGCCTTATAAGTTGACCAGTCTATACGCTTATGCACATGCATTTGATAAAAAATTGTGAACTTTTTCAGCTATTTTGCATCGTTTGTAATCGGCTGGTTTAATTGATTTTAGGACCGACTTGATCGATCATGCTTGACTTGAAGCCGATTGACTTGCTGCCCTAAGAAACACTATTTTAAATAGATAATAGAAACCCAAGTAAATGCATATGTACGTGTGTAGTCAGGAACTTAAATTCTTTTCAATAACCAATAATATTAATTAATTAAGGTAGTCTTACTGTATGTAATGACCGATTTATTACGATATTGGCCAGTGTTAGAATTTTTTGGCGGAAAGCATTACAGTAAGACTACCTTAACAATATCATGACCAAAACTGCATTTATTGATTCTGGTTGGAAAAATAACTTTTACACTTTTTCAGAGTTTCTTAAGTAACTGAATGTACAGTATATTTATAACTTTGCTTAAAAGACTTCACGCAACACTACAAAATATGGCGATAGAAACCGGCACTCTTATGAAGCTTGAATGAGGTACCCAAAACCTGATGCTCTTACACGATGCCAAAATCAACACTTCAAGTTGTGAGTATAAAAATAGCTGAAAATTAGAAACGATCATTAATTTGTTACTACATTTTATATTATGCTTTATATATTTTCTTGATATTTTACACATTTTTCTAAAGTAATAACCAAGCTGATGACCTATAGGACAATACTAAATACCCCACAGAAGTTTGACTGAAAGAACTTTTTAACAAAAAGTTAAGGTCCTCTATTATATTATATTAGATTATCATGTGGTTGACCGTTGGAAAAAAAGATTAAAACAATTAGGTTTACTGAATACAATCAATTTTAACTAAATATCGAGGTTATCTATGGCTCGAGTTTATCTCTTCAACCAGTATAATATAATACAAAAAACGGAAATACTGTATTTATGGATATTGTTGTTAATATTTTAGACCAATTGATCGAATTTCAAGTTTCTTAGATATAATCATGATAAGACAGAATGCTGATATGTGAATCGCCTATAAATATTAATACGATTTATTCTAACACGGCCCGCATTTCCCCTATTGAATATAGAAGGACCGAAAGTGTGTGTTATTATGGAATAAAATAACTGTATCTAACATATATACATACAGAGTATACGCAGTCTTCTATAAAATATTACAAATCTTATTATCTGCACCATTCAAAAGCTTACACCAGTAGATAATAATTTTACTTTTTATTTGCAAAGATATCGGAGTAACTCCAAGTTCACCATATAACATACAATTATGGGTACTTTACTTGAGGTTAAGTAATTTAATCAACCATTCTAACTTTGCGGTATTTTTCTCTTTCAAGCACTTCCTTTTATTTAGGTTCATAAAAAACGCCGAAAATGAAAACCAGTCATTCTTAGGCCACATAAATTTCCGGTTCCGGGTAAAAATTTTGTACGTGGCTATCAGCCGGGTGATATTAAAGAGAAAATAGCCATAATGGCTAAGCAGAATGAGCTTATGGATAAAGCAGAGGATGTAGCAGACCAGGTATACGTTATTTGGACGCTGATTGACAAAAAAATGAGCATACATTCCCTGAATCTTTACAAAACCTGTGTACTCTCGTGTAATTTTCATTTCACTTTTTCTCTTACATGTCTTTAAGTTTTCAACACTATTGATGTAATGCGTAACTAATCAGTGTGGCATGATAATGAATGGTTAGTGTATTTGGTTCACCTAATGTTGTATAGTGCATCAATATAATCTATGATTTACATACCTCAAACACTGTTGAAATGCTTTATCTATTTTGAGAACATATGTTAATAAAACAACTTATTGTCAATCATCTACATCTACATTGTACGTCGGCGCAATCACACTTGATTATGACGCGACGGATGGTGCTAGGTCAAGAAAAAGAAATATACAAGAAATGATAGAAAGTAAGAAGAGGTTGGATAGTACAAAGATAGAGATATAGACAAAAAGTATGGCCAGCTATATTTCGCCTCTTCAACCCAAACCTCTCCGGTTACGGTGGCCGCTGCCGGCACAGCCTTGGATATCACTAGTGGGTACTTGTAGCTGGGCCCCTAAGGCCAATTAGAATGTGAGGGCTGATAGCCCCTGCTTGAAGGATACCAAGTCAGGGGCCTCTGCAACGGAGGCAGGTAAGCTGTTCCATATCGTGGCTGTACGAGGGAAGAAGGAGTTCTTGTAGTATGATGTAGATGTTGATGGTAGATGGAACTTCTTGGAGTGGTCACTTCTAGTGCGCTTCGGGGCAGGGGTGAGATAATCGCTGACTGGTATGTCCACAAGGTCATTGGTGATCTTGAACATCATGGTCAGCTGGGCTTTGGTCCGTCGTGACTCTAATGTCTCCCACTCCAAGTGTTGGATCATTGAGGATACGCTGCTTGTGTTGTGGTAACGGTTCGTCACATATCTTGCAGCTCTCCTCTGGACCATCTCGAGCTTGGGTATCAAGCGCAGATACACCTCAATTTCGAATCTTAGAATGGAGTTCTTGAAACATATTTTTCAGAGCTCCAGATTAGCAACAGTTTGTCGTTATAATGAAATGAGTTAAACCAGGAAACAAATTAAATAATTTTCAGATGCTGTTCAAAACATTTTGATTTTCAATTTCAGTCGTTTCAAAATCTGTTAAAAATGGAAAATGTTGTCCGAATACAACAGCATATTTCTTTTTATGCTAAATTTTGGAAAAGGAAGGAGAAATCAATGAGGAAATAGCATGTGGAAAGGCATCAGAGTTTATAGCGAATGTTATCGTTTGCATTAAAAAAAACATGAAACATACATGATACTGGATTAAACATAACACTTTAAAAGAAAAGTTACTTCAGACATGGAAAACTTAGTCTCTTATTGCCTATGGTTTATATAATACATGAAATACCCCCATTTAATAATTATGACCCTCCGGTAGAAAAAACCCCAAAAAACAATGAAAATTTGAAAAAAAACCAAACAAAACTAATTGCATTTGAAATTGTGACAAAACTAATTGCTGAAAATATCAAAATTCAATTTAATTTACACATTATACACATTTTTTAAGAGCGCTACAACCCTTGCCTTGAACTTTCCACATACAATCAAAAACTAACTATGCAACACTAATTGAAGTGCAACAGATCACAATAATATAAACTGATGCAGGTCTATTAGAGTTGGTGTACCTGGTCTACACAGTATGTGGTTTTGCACACTCATATTTTTCCCTGACAATAACAGAGTCACGTTTTGAAGAGTGCAAATGAAATTGTAAATTAAACAAAGCAGGTGCAGAAATGTGTTATACAAGAAGTTAACTGTGAAAATGTAAAGATTATTATTAAATATAAATTTGAAGAAATATAAGTGTTTGTTTCGGAACATTTGCTGAACATTACAGTACTTTCCAAATAAATACGAATAAACTTCTCCCAACTTCATTTCATCTTGATACATGTAATACGAAACTCTTAACCTGTCAAATTGTAAATAAAGAAATGTCCCTTTAACATTTTCCAGATTTTTTTTGAAACTGAATAGCTCACTGGTCAGCAAACACCTTCTATGTAGTTTATCTTAAAAGGCCACATATGTCATTTGACATGTAGTGCAATCCACAAATCAGATCAAAAGGTGTACTGTATTATACTGGTTCGCCCCACTGATGATTTACCCCATAATGATTATGAGTCGCCTCACTTTAAAAAGTGAAGATTCACCCCATTTTAATGATAATTCGTCCAACTTTATATTAACTGTTTTTCATTCATTTCGATTGAAAAATATACGGTTTGGGTATAATAAGCATTATATTCGGTATATTTCTAGAGATTATTTGATAGCATTTGATTTAGAGATAGTATATAAAGAAAAATACATGTATCTGTTAAACAGGATTAATAATGCCTTTGACTTCCTCATATATAAAATAGGACCATCTGGACTTTTAATGACAATCCTGGTCACAACCATGTTTTCACTTCACACACCTGATCAGTTCAGTCTAGAAAATAAAATTGTATAGAAGATCAGTTCAAATAACTACATTTCAGTAATATATATATTTTGTTATATATATTTTTTTGTACATCATGTACATGATTGAATGTGCTATGACTATGCCCCCTTTAATAACAAAATGTTCATTTATTTGATTTCAGCACTGTCAGTAACTTATGAACTATTTTTTACCTTTGAGTTTATATTGGCTTCTGAAGCAATTTTGTTTTAATTAATAATTAATATATATCATTGAACTTTTTTAAATGTATCATTTAGAATAGTATTTTAGCTTTCAAGATACTATATTTTGAAATAATGTTTACACATCATGCAAATATTTACAAATATTTTTTAGGTTTTACGGCATTCTAAACACGTTTTACCACATGTTGCAAGATTTTGCCTGATCAGTACTTTCTTAGAGGATGGCATTCGAATGTGGACGCAGTGGGGCGAACAGCGAGATTATATGAATATATCGTGGGGATGCGGGTACTTCCTCGGAACATTGTTTGTTATAATCAATCTTATAGGTCAGCTTGGTGGATGCATGATGATTTTGAGTCGGCAAAAAGTTCCCATTGGATGTGGAATCCTATTCTTTATCATAGCTTTACAGGTATTTCCTACAAAACATTTACCAGTTTATATTTTTTACAAGGTATAACACTCTAAATGGTATACTTAATTGGATTGGTTGAAATTATTAGCAGCAGCATTGCAAATTGGTTGATATGTCAGACATAAAATCTAAGGGTTCTAGGTAGACAGTGTTTAAGCTTTTGTCAGAGGCAAGCTATTAAAGGTAGAGACTTAATATGCATTGAATAGTACTGGTTAGTTCTAGGAATGATTTTAAAAGTTTTTTTATTAGATTTCTCCACAACCAAATTTAAGCAAGTTCTTTTTGCCATGTGAGAAGGTAATCACTTTCCTGTAGCACAGATAATGAACCCTTCTAACAGCAAAATTATATAGAATCAAATGATTTTATGACATTATAAAATATCGTATAAGTACTTTTTTCTGCAGGAATTTTATTTCTGCTATTTCTGCGATTCATAACGACACCGCAGATTTAAAAACCGCAGAAAATTAAGCCTTTCCCTATGTCTATCTCGGAATATGTCAACTACCGGTATTGTATACTTACATTACCATGTACTGTTATTGGCTTTTGTAGATGGGAATTTTTCTTTATGTATCCGTCATGAATAAAATAGAAAACAGTTACTTAACTTGTTCTTTTTGTTTAAAAAAAATATCATGTTTGTATGATTTTCGCTCACCATATGCTTGCTTCTTTTTTTGTAAAATAAAACTGTTATAGTTTGACAGGTGCAATAAACATAACCTTTTGTATTTGCACAATATCTTGTGTCTATGTGCGATTTTACCGTTGTTTATTTTTCACACTTCATATTTTATACACATGCAGTATTACAATTAATTATTGTCATTTCACGTTGTTGATTTTTGTTTATAAACGTTAATATACCATTACATGATGATTACGATGAAACACAATATAAGTCGTCTGCATGTTTACCGGAAGTAATATACATGTTACATCAACAAATCTTGAAATGTTGTCTGTTTGTATCGGTTAGTTATGTTTAATTATCTAAATTAAAACGCAGAAATAAAAACATCTATGCGAGAATGATGACGCCGCAGAAATAAGATACGCAGAAATTTAAAACCCCTTGTTTTAACAAAAATCGCAGAATATTAAGCCCGCAGAAATAAGTACTTATACGGTATCATATGAATTTTTGTATTGAACATTTGCGTGGCTATACATATATGTTATTTAAGTCAGTTCGAGTCTGGGATATTTTTTACTTTGTAATTTTCAGTACGGATTAGATTAAGAAGAATAAGGAGAGCTATTGTACTCTCCCAGGTGTTGCCGTCACACTTTGGTTAAGGTTTTGTGTGAAGTTAGTATCTCTTATACTACTGAAGGAAGGGAGTGTGTTGAAACTTTACGCATTTGTTTAATAGGAGTTCAATTTTTCAAGGCCCATAACTCTAAGATTGATTTTGACAGAATTATGGTCCCAGGGTGGGCCTTCTTGAACATGAAAAATTCTACAATGTCCTGGCTCTTTTGTACAAGCAAGCACTGAGAGTAGTTTGAGCACACTGCCCTATTGACAGCTCTTGTTTTTTCATGATATATATCTTTATGTTTGATCAAAGGGGCTTAAAATACTATTTAGATGTAATTATATATACTTTGTACAAAGTTTGAGAGTATAAGATTAAGTCATTATTTACATGTAGTACAGTACTACTTTGATAATTTATTAATTACTTTTCTGATTTCTTACAGACCATTGCATACAGCATATTGTGGGATTTGAAATTCTTGATGAGGTAAGTTTTCATCTTGAAAATAATTAATTTTTTTCAAATCTTAAGAATAAACAAATACTGATGGAAGATGTGAGGCATTGTAAATATGACATTCAGAGATAGGATATTCCACTCGTCCCCTCGTATTTACGAGTATGATTTAAGAGAACTTGATGCAGGACAAGTAGAAAAATGTTACCTGCACATTGGATTTAGAAGCTACACTTCCTACAGGACGAGTGACACTGAAAATAGTTTTTGATGCCTGACATTCTCTTAGTTTGACTCCTTAAGAATAGTAGGGCTATACTATTGATGACATTTGCCTAAAACTCTTTTATAGTTTTCGTGCAATTTCATATTTTGTTGTTAAAGTTATATCCTATGAATTTCACACACACCTTTTTGGTTTGAATTTTATGTCACTCACCAAGACCCATAACTCTAGGAATGATTTTCACTGAATTGTTTTCCCCTGTTTTTAGGTTGTGAATAAAATTAAGGTTAAAAATTTCCAGCATTTTCTAGTCTTCTTGTCTCAGACTCATTATGTATTGGGAAAGGTTAAAAGAGAAGTAAAGCTTTTTTGCTCATTGACATCTCATTTTTTTTTTTAAAACGGTACTCTATGCTTTCAAAACTGGTGTCATATCAGTGGCATATCCTTCAAATATGTAGCCATATGACCTTAACCCTTTACAATGTTGGTTTGACCTAAAATCCAATAAAAACGAACAATGTTTCCCTACCAAATATATGTGCCTGCTGGAATTTAAAGAAAAAACATTTTGAAGAACTGATATTGTATTTACCAAAATGACTGATAAAGAAAGTTATATGAGAGAGCATGAGAAAGAAAATATTCATGACTGCTTGCAAAAATATAAATTTGCCTAATGTAACCCTTATTTTCTATCTTCTCTGTTAGAAATCTTGCTTTGGCGGGAGGAGTGTTGTTATTACTAGCAGAAAACAAGGCTGAAGGCCGCAGTCTATTTGCCGGACTACCATCCCTCGGAGAAAACAACCCTAAACAGTACATGCAGCTCAGTGGTCGTATATTGCTGGTCCTCATGTTCCTCACACTTCTTCGTTTTGAAATGGACTTTCTACAAATCGTGCAGAACTTGGTCGGCACAGCATTAATCATTCTCATCGCCATAGGTTACAAGACAAAGTTATCTGCCCTTGTTCTAGTTGTCTGGCTTACGTGTCTGAACCTGTACTTTAACGCGTTTTGGAATATCCCCTCATACAAGCCAATGAGAGATTTCCTAAAATATGACTTCTTTCAGACCCTCTCTGTAGTAGGAGGTCTTTTACTAGTAGTTGCATTTGGACCAGGGGGAGTAAGCATGGATGAACATAAGAAGAAATGGTAGAAGAATTATCTCCCTTTAGGAAAAATATAACATTGTTAAGAAAGATATTGTTTTAGCCAAATAAATTGACATTATTTTGTTTGTAAAGTATGGTATTTTAGTGGCATGCATGCATGAGTGAGCTTGAAGACTTATAGATGTTGTATTGATGTATTTGGTTAAGAAATGATAACCTAAGGCTGTATTTAAAAACTAGAACAGGTGGGGTCACAATTTTGAAATATGTTGTAGGGCATTGGCACCAAACGATATTGGTAAATTTTATTAGGAATTTTAGAATTTGACCAGTTTTCTAATAAAAATTTTAAGTACTGTACCAGGAAAACATGTTTTTATGAAAGGAATTGTTTTTTTTTTTGATTATTGGATTTAAGTGATACCGGAATTGAGCAGATTTTACATGCTATTTATATTGAAATTGCTTTATATGAATGTAATTTTTACGTAAGAAATAGTTCATTTTGAAATAGTGATGAGATTTCAAATCATATAATTTGCTATCAGTGCTATCCTTTTTCAATTTCACGTTTGGTGCCATTTATTTTTGATTTATTAAAACTAGTCACAACAGCGATATATAAAATTTACATATAATTATATATTTATATATATATATATGATGATATACAGTGATATGTTGAAATTATTTCTGTAATATTTAATATGTCAAATTTATTTAACGCAAATTATAAATGCTTGTCCAACATTTTGACAGACCTTTGTTCATTTCCCTTGCCATCTATTAATATTTAATAACATGGACTATGTCACCTACAGTATTGAGCAATGCCATTTGAGATCAGGTATATCCATGCTGTCGCTAAACTAAACCTATTACAGTTAGTGAAATTCTGATGTGAACGCTGGTCCTGATTTACCGGTATGCGCAGGATTTCATGAATCTATGTACCAGGTTCGCGAAACCATTATGTATGTTTTGTCGCTGACCCATTACGTAGAAAATTTCAAATTCTGTACTGACTGCAATAGTGAACATGTGACCATTGTCTGACGGAGGATTTACTGACCTTGTCTCCACTGAATCAGTGAATGTAATAGGACAGGTAAATATTTTACATAACCAGTCTATATATGTATATAAAGATATATAGTATATAGCCCATATAAAACTTTAAAAAGTTTGTTCCAAGCACCTGTGGATGGACTCTGTTTGGAAATCAAAACATTCATGATCAAAGCGGCCATTTTTCCATTTACCCACAAATTTTCTTTGCGGGCGCCTGGACTCGTATTCCTTTTGTTTCGCTTTTTTTTCTTCATTGGATAGTTTACGATTTTTGCCGGGCGTAGCGCCAGCGTAATAATGTAGTAACACCAACATTTTGGTTATTGACAGTCGTATGTATCGGACACTTATAATGAAACGGCGAATCAAAACTCGTTTTACATTTTTTTATTCAAGGGAGAAAACTTGGTCTTGATCGGTCTTGGATATACCCCGGTATTCGTACCGGACATAAGGTCCGGAACTCCGAAAAAAAATATCAGACCGGCCTGATTTTTGCCGGACATGTCCGACGGTCCGGCAACTTTCGCGAAGCCTGATGTACTGACTGTATAGTGAACAGTGCAGACCATGATCTGACGGCAAAGATTTGACTGACCTTGGTCTCCACTGATCGCAGGAATAGAATAGGCAGGCCCTGGGTTAACATGTAAAGATATTTTCTGAAGCTAAGTTATGTCCCCTTGACCTTCTTGCTAAATTGTATCACCATGACTATTACCCTTACTTGTAACCTCCTGAACTTCATTCTAAATTATTTCTGTAAGAGTGTTTGTGCTACTGTTTTAATGTAGTGTTTCATTTGTAGGTGTTTTGTTAATCTATCTTTTGTCGGTTTGGGATTACTCTTATTCCACAAATGTTCTTGTTTATATTTTCTCGATTTTATATCTATCTGTGAATCAGAATCTATTACTTGTAGCTTCTGTTATTTGTTAGATGGAGAAATTTTCTTCTGTTGAATGATATTGAGATGTTACTTGTTTTAAAGCAGCATGCCTCCAGATTCGTGCCTTCTTTCATGGATATGTTGAAAATGTATGTAAATGTAAAATGTTGTGAAGTGAACAAAGAAAGTAATTTTACATTTTGTAAACAGCACTTTAAAACACACATAAATCACCAAAATGAGGACAAAATATGCCATAATATCCCTTACTTAATTAGTCATGCAGTAGAAATATGGTGATAAATATAGCTGAATCAGTCCTTAGATCACTCGTAACATGTCATTACTATTTGTATCTGGAGCAATTTTACTTTTCATAAAATCCATGGAGGCATGCAGCTTTAGGATATTTATGTGTGGTAGAAAGACAAATAAAAAAATTCAGAAATTATAAATGATAAGTATGCAGGTGAATATTTTAAGAAGTTTACTGTAAAATGATAACATCAAAATTACCTATTTGGTATGTTTACAAATGGTTCATGTATAAATGGTTGTCTGTTTGAATCAAGGAAAATGAGTTTTTCATTATGAAGCACAAAGCATTGTTGTATTTAAAGATGTAAAGGAAACCAATTTTGAAGCTTGATCTTTTATAACACATAAATAATTGGGGGAAAGAAATGAACTTCTGGAGAAAATTTGTATAGTGATTTTCTTTATGTTTTCCGAAATATTTTGTGGTGTTTTTAAGTTGCTTTGCTTACATTAAGCAAGTCATTTAAATTAAAAAAGAATTGATATATACAAAGTACAGGGCTGTGACTTATGGTAAAGGTGTCTACCTCTCAACCATGGACTGTGGGTTTGAGTCCTAGTGGTATCACAACACCTGTTTCATCATATGACACCAGTACTGGTGTTTTCCCTGAAGTAAACTTGACAGTGGTTCACATAAGCCACACGCTTTCTTCACCGTCAATTTTTTTCTTAAAGCTTAAATAAATACTGTACAAATTACCGGGTACCGTACCAATTTTCAGGAATAGAAAAGAAGAAAGAAAGACCTTATTTTTTGTCTTTCATCTTTAAAAAGGTTAATGCAATGTTTTCATCAATTGTCAGTGATTCTAATTGAGTATCATTTTACAGTTAATTTCACCAATGTTGGAATATATGCTATGAGATATGATATGCTATGAGATATGATAAGTTATGATGAGGTGTTTTGTTTTTGAGTATTATTGTCCTATTGATATAAATTCGAAGTCTGAGACTTCATTGAAAATAATTTTTGTGATGTTTTTAGCTACACAAAAAACAAGTGTTCATCTTGACTGTATTGTATAGAAGTATTAAATAATAAATTTGTACCAAATCAGTTATTCGTATTCATTTGCTGGACATGATTTTGTTTATCAGTTACTTATGTACCTAAAAAAAATTTTGTTTAGTAATTTTTTGTGTTCATGGAATGTATATAAGAAATTTTCTTATTTCTATGAGTAAATGTTATTGCCTTCATGGAAACCTTTGTCTGGGGTTATAAAGAAATTTTCACAGTTTGAACTTAGATCTCAGGTTTTGATTGGTCAGAATTTAGCACAAAATGAGCACTGTCCAATGAAAATCCCAAAATCTGTGATGGAGGGCAAAAAATGTTTTATAACCTCCAGGCCTGGTTTTCATTCTAATTTCATAACATGTTTTACTTAATTAAAGGATAGAATGAATAATGATAATGTTAGTCAAAGCTTGAAGTTTTCACATAACATCAGAAAAGCAACAGTTATATTTAATATATTCATAACATTTTGAAACATCAGTCATTTATAGGGGCCTCCGTGGCCGAGTGGTTAAGGTCGTTGACTTCAAACCACTTGCCCCTCACTGCTGTGGATTCGAATCCCGACAGGATCTTTGGATTCTTTCATGTGAGGAAGCTATCCAGCTAGCTTAAGGAATGTCGGTGGTTCTACTCAGGTGCCCGTTCATGCCTGAAATAATGCACAGAAGGGCACCTGAGGTCTTCCTCCACCAGTAAAGCTGGAACGTCAGGATATGACCTATACTGTGTCAATGTAATGTAAAACCCTCAACAAAATTGTTTATATATTAATCCATGCTAATTTAATTACTTGACAAGTTATGTTTTGAATTGGAAACCAACATTGCTAGATTAAGCAGACGGTAGTGTACAGTCAGATATGGGCAGTCTAGCCTTTATCTATGCTTTTGACTTAGGCAAGGATATTGTTACACAAAGTGCAGCTAGACTTTATTAGGTTGATTGCAATAAAACCGTAATATTTAGGACTTGCTGTAGATAAAATGGACTTCCAGTAGAGAAAGTTATATTTAGGACTTTCTTTAGATAAAAAAGGTAATATTTAGGACTTGCTGAAGAGAAGGTAATATTTAGGACTGGCTTTTCATTACAGAGGACACTGTTTTACCCCATGTCCGTATAGGGTCAATGTTTATTTGTGGATAAAACGCAAATGAGCAAGTATCTGTTATCCTAGACATTTGTTATTGTGTAATTTTGTTGTTGGTAACCTTTGCTGATTGGGTTGGTTCATTTTCTTTTTGGTTGAGCAATGTTGTGTTTGCAAAAATATTAGATATTGTTTTAAATGATTCTAAGTGATTCTTTTTACAAGATATGAAATTTTGTATATGTATTGATTTTTGCTTATTTCTGTTGTCCTATATTTGGGCCTAAAAATTGTTTCTCCTCTTCTAAAATCATATGCTACCCTTCCAAATGTTTTTTCCCCCTTAATACATTGAGGCAGTCTGTCAATGACAATGGCATATTTCTATTTATCATGTGTTTTGTATTGTAAGTTTACAAAATGGTATGTGTCTTGAATAAAGCTTTCACTTTATGATAATTATTTACATTTTTTTATTAAATCTATAAAAAATTTGTATGAATAAATATGTTTATTAAAAACAGTTTTGATTAGAAAGATTCAACCTACATCACCTTAATTAGCCTGGGTAGCTGGAGGGGAAACAAAGATGTTTTAAGCCTGGCCTTGGAAGACAAGTCAAGCCATAAATTGATTATTTTCTGTCAGTGAGGTAT